TGTGTGTGTGTGTGTGTGTGTGAGTGAGTGAGTGAGTGAGAGAGAGAGAGAGAGTAAAAATACAATACTCGAGTTTTTGTGTATATTCACTTTGTTTTTAGATATCGTTAGCCAAAGCAGCTGTGGAGAAGGACACTGAAAAGAAATACAAAGAGGCTGTGACACTTTATTGTAAAGCACTGGAACATTTTATCCCTGCTATTCATTGTAAGTCCATGCAATTGATTTAATGATTATCATAGTAAAAAAGACTTTTGTGAATTATTGCCTTGGGATGCTGCCAGTGGCACATTTTTTAAAATTCACATTACTTGTTTAAGAAATTACAATTCTATCTTTCCTCTCTTTTACTATGTAGCCTTTACAGTTATTGGTTTTGAATTTTTTAAACTCAATTCCAGATGAACCTAATCCTACAAAAAAGCAGAGGTTAAGAGAAAAGGTAAATGCTGTAGATAAAAAGACTTTTATCTGCTTGGTTGATAACGGAAGAAAAATTCCTGTATTGAAGATAGTTTAACAAGAGGTGTTGCTACCTTTTATTTGTAATAAATATATCAGTTGTGTGTGCATGCGAGCATGTGTGTGAGTGTTGTTCCTACTGAAATGTTGTATAGAAGTTATACTTAGCCATATTTGCTTTGCTCTTCAGGTAAGAGAATATATGAAGAGAGCAGAAGAATTAAAACAATGTCTCAAACCTGAGGGGCGTCACACAAATCAGAAACAGCTGACTCCCAGGAGTAAACAAGAACTGGGTAAGCCTCACCTGATACATAAACATTCAAATTTCAAAAAAATTTTATTTGGTCTGTCATGTAAGAAGACATAATTGAATTGGGGGTTCATCATGTGAAACTGAAATTGAGCCATTCTCTTTATTGTAAACATCTGCTAAACATGTGTAAATTCAAATGAAAAAGCACTTGAAAAGTATAGCAAAGTTCTTTGGGCATCTGTCTCACTCTCTCTTTAAAAGCAGATGGGTTCTTTCACTTTCAACATTTGGATATGAATTTGCATTCATTATGCCATGTAGTATATGTATTAGTTTCAGAATGTTTCAATGCAGTCTTTCCTTTTCATTTTTAGAAACTTTTGCAGCAGAAGATGAAACATTAAAGGCAGCTTTAACAATGATCGAAGTAGCTGAATACAAAGTAAGTTCCTGAAATGTTGGTAGTATGAGCAGTATGTTTATAGTTTCTACAGGAAAATTTAAATAACTGTTAGAAATTTTTTAAAAAGCCCAGAATATCACACGATTGCATAAAGGTAATTGAATGATAATTCAGTTTGAATGGTTAGGGCAGAGGCAGTTATTTTAATAACTAAAAAACTTAAGAAATAAGAAATTAAACCTGACATTGTGTGTTTTGTAAAATCTTTCAGGAAGATTATGAAAAATATGAAGAAGCACTTGCAAAGTATGAAATGGCACTAGGAGTACTAATAAAACTGTTACAAGGTTTGTATAAAACAAAACCAGCACTGAAATAAGATGTTATTATTCATAAAATATTCTCATATATATCCTTACCAAAGTTTTTCATCTTTCTCCTGTTCCGTTGTTAATAATGTGTTAGGTGTGACTTAACTTTTTACATCTAGCACATTAGTTATCTTGTGTTTTGACATGTCATCAGTGTACTAAAATTTCATGATATCATTTTAAGTATAAGTATTTATTATTAAGATTATATTTTTCTCACCAGATGAAGCAAATGAAAGGAAGAAGGAACTGTTATCAAAACATGTATGTTAAATATATTTTCTTGCAATTTCTACTGCGTTAATCCATGTATGTCATATGCTTATTAACTTTTTTATTCACTTAAAAAAAAGTGTCATCTCATTTGAAATGGCTTAATAATGACATACAACATCAACAGCACCTTAAGATTTTGCATAATAACATGTATCCTATTGTTTGGAACATTGTACAATCACTTGATACTTATTGATACTTATCCAAATATCAGATTTGATGAAAAAAGTACAGATGTTGTGTTCATGTTTTTGCTTCTTTATTTAGACTTGATTAGCACCACCCCTCCACATTAAAAAATGAACTTTTTATTCAGTGTCTGTATGTATCTTTCAGGTCAGTGTCTGGATGACAAAAGCAGAAACCATAAAGAATTACCTAAAAGTTAAACAATTAAAGACACGAGACACTTCAGAACAAGAAGAGGAAGAAGACCAGCGACTTTCAGGTAATATGAGTGACATTTTCAGGTATTACATTGGCATTGATCTTTCTATTTTTGGCCATCTTTCCTCCATGCCTCATAGAGTTATAGCAGAGCTGACAAATGATCAAAGGAAAGGGAAAGAAATGACTTGATGTAACCTGTCTGCATTTTTCACATACATGAATGATTTATTCTTGAAATTGACGTAACTGATGACCCAAAACCAGTTTCATAAAGTCAGTATTAGCTTGTGATTTTCTTTTCAGTGTTTGCTAAGGGCAATGCATTTGAAATGGAGAATTAAAAAAAAAAACTCTTATGAAAAGTGGAAAGCTAGGGAAGGTTTCTTGAAATGGGCCCCAGACTGATTAATGAAGTCTGAGATGGGATAAGGTGTCTACACTTTCTGTTTGTCTGGTGATGTCAAATCTCAGTTTATTCAATTGCCAGTCTAAGTTAATCTTTCAAATACAATTTGACCTTCACTTCATGGAGGTCAATTGTGTCAGATTGAACAGGAAATAAGGCTCGTCTTAACAGGATTTTTGGGAATTAGGGTGAATTGTAATTAGATAACTTCTGGACTCGAGTGTTTTTTCTTTTTAAATGAAGCAACAACTGAACATGTTTAACGTGATCAGATAATTTGATGAGAGAAAACTGTATTAACTTTACAGTCATGAACCATTTTCCTGTTCATCCATTTAGACATTTTCACTACCTATACCTAAGTTGATGTAGGACAGTGCTGCCACTTACATGCAATAAGTCTACAAAGCAAGATCAAAGTCTACTAAAATATAAGGGTGCACATTCATGCAGCACTGTCCAGCATATTTTTTATCCTGGTTTTGCTGTCAAAAAAGGCCACATTTGAAGATGGGTCAAAGTTGATACTGATGTGAACAGAAGGTCAAAGTTAACACTGACATGAACAGGACTGTGGTGTGCACCATCCTATTAGCAGATGCCTGTATGCAGGTGTGACCAAATGATAGTTGATAGGTCCATCTATCACACTAAACACTGTGATCATTACACACCNCTACAAAGCAAGATCAAAGTCTACTAAAATATAAGGGTGCACATTCATGCAGCACTGTCCAGCATATTTTTTATCCTGGTTTTGCTGTCAAAAAAGGCCACATTTGAAGATGGGTCAAAGTTGATACTGATGTGAACAGAAGGTCAAAGTTAACACTGACATGAACAGGACTGTGGTGTGCACCATCCTATTAGCAGATGCCTGTATGCAGGTGTGACCAAATGATAGTTGATAGGTCCATCTATCACACTAAACACTGTGATCATTACACACCGACACCTGCTTCTCCCTCACCTGACATCACTTACCCACACTGGACTATTTAGACATATTTGAACAAGGTGAACATTATTATATAGCACCTAGGTATTTTGTGGACCAGTCACATTTATTATGTCATATAACTGTTCATTGGATTAATGGGGTAGTTGATGGGTGTTGTACTTATAGGTGGATAACATAAGAGGTTTTGGGTTATGTAAGAGTGGTGGTGTCCAGCTGCATGTCTTACATGGGTCTGGTTTCTTCATCATTTGTCCATTTTGGAAATAGTTTTGTTTCTTGATAGTTGTATTGTATGAGAAACCTTTGTCATTGTGTTCCTCTTAACATTGAGCTGTGTCCCCCTTGTATTAGACGACCTGTGTATATCAGTAGTAAAGTACTGCCTTCATTACGTATCACACACAGTGTGGATACTCATTGAATGTTTTAGATAGTTCAAACTTAAATTTCTACAGCCTCTCATCTGTAATTTTTTACTAGTTATTTACTGTGTGTATCAATTATTTTCAGGTCACAGCTGCAATATCCAGTAAAAGGTCCATTGCTCAACTTGGAAAGAAAGAAAAATAATTACCAATAGAAAGTGCCAAAAATGAGGATCCAAGCAAAGTTTGATTTGGAAGAAAATGTAAAACAAACAGCTGGAAAGAAAAAGAAAATGCATGCATGTTTTACAATTTTTTACTAAAATGATGTTGATGGTTTATCTTTGCAAGGCAAAGATATATGGTCACGTCAGTGGTGTTGAAGTGAACTGATATGGAACAGTGAGTTGGTAAGCTCCTTGTGAGCAGCAGCCTGGTAAAGCAAAATTGCAGATGCTCTGCTTGGCTGTCTAAAGTGAACCCATTTGGTATGTTGAACATTCAGGGCACCAATCTGTGCAATGTATTTCACTTAACTGAGATTTAGAAGCAGGTTGATACTGGGATATCTTCAGATGTATGTATATAAGAGGGATGGATGCCCCATGTATAAACTGCTGACAATCAAGTCACTTTCGATATTGTGTTACAAACAAAGGAGAAGAGATGAATGTGAAACTGAAGTATCTTAATATATAATTGTTGGTAAAGATTTGAATTATTTGGTGCTAATTGTTAATAAGTATGGTTTGGAGATGGGGAGGATTTACTCTGGATATTATGTTCTTTTATTATAGTTAACTGTACTGTAAGGATATGGATCTGCTAATGCTGTAGATTTTGACCTTATGTGTAAATACTGTCCCTTTTTTTAACCATAACATAAATTTGTGCAAACGAGCTATCTGTGAATGCATTTAGTTTTGTGATATGGATGAATACAGAATTTTTCAGTGTGGATGAAATTACACAATTATAACCATAATAAACAAAAAAATTTGGAATGACCTTCGTATTGCTGAAAGAGTGTCATATGTAGATCAAGCTCGCTTATTTGCAGTTGACCCAGAAATGAAAAAGTTGTTACATTTCAAAAAAATTATGACTTGTCTTCTGGAAGGCACATTGAGACTCACCTTGGTAAAGCTGTTTTATTTTGGTCAATAAATGCTTTATGTTTTTCAAACTGTTTTTGTACATTTATTTCCTACACATAAAACATTTCTGGTGTTAATGTACTCAGACTTATGTTTCAAAGGTAAAACAATGTTCAGCAATTACTTTTATGCCAGATAATTATACTTTTATTGCCAAAGCAAATATTTTCTAACAGTAGACCAACAAATGCTCCAAAATGTATTTTTGCAGACGTGCCTCAGCACCATGTTATCATGACCCCTTAGAATGATGTATGGGTGTCAGTTACAAGTAAAACAAACAAGTAATTATCACCCAATTAATGCAGACAAGCCTAAAGGAATTATCCTTAATCTTGTTTACATATCAATTCGCAGTAGGTGCTGCACGCTGTTGCTCTTTTTCAGCTGTCAATCAAGGCGTTTATGGCAGGGGGTAAACTCCTCCCTCTTTTTCCATGTAATTAATGAAGTCTCACTGTCAATCATCTTGATGTGGCAGTTTATAAGAACTCCTACTAGGTGATTATTAGTCTTATGGTCTTGCATTTGTGAAACAACTAACACCAGAAGGATCGCCAATGATATTTCTCCACCAGGTGGTTGCTAGTCCATAATTTTGCAAATTTCGTAAAAAAAGAAAATTTCCATGGGCATACCATCTGTCTTTGTGGATTGCCAGCTTATGGTGTATGGATTAAAATTATGTACTGCTGCTTTCTACTAGAACATGTTTTTGTTTGTGACTTGCATTTAACAGAAACATGCTGTTGATTTGTTGTAAAAGAAATAATGCAGTATACGATGAAAAAACACTAGCAATAAAATAATACAAGAAAAAATACAAAAAAGGGTAACTTTTTGGAAACTATTACCTCCAAATGTATAAAAAAGATAAGTAAAGGGAAAGTTAAAAGAACTTTTTATACGCACAATTATTACACTCTTGAGTAAAACAAGTTAACCCTGTCAGATGTGTTCAGTGTGATACAGCATTCTGTTCAGGAAGAACAGAGATTGAGAAGATCTGTAATGTTTACTTAATATGCTCTTTATCAGCAAAATAATGAACTGCTGATAAGCTGTTAGTTTTGACTGTGCATTCATTCACCCCAATTTTTGAAGTAACAGACTGAACAAGCAACCCATGTAGTTCAGTCTCAAGATAAAGTCAGATGTCAGTCTGCAAATGACAGAGCCCCTGACGTACCTGACATTTAAAATGACACTGGCAGCTAACCATGCAATGTTGACACTGGCAAAGGTCCAGTTACACTATCACACTACCCCTACCAGACCTTACTGCAGCTCTTGTTCAACCCTTATGATAATGTTTTTCTTTGTGTAAGCAATTTTCCAAACACTGTGTGCTTTCAATTTCCTTGTCTGTTGCCAAACCCGATGCACACATTACAGAAAGTAATTTTGTAACCTACCCATCCAGGACCAGTTGTTTTTGTTGAGAACATTCCTCTGGCGAGGGGTAATAACTATAATATGGTTCAGAAAGCTAAGTCCTATTGTTCTATCTCATCCCGAGAGCCAATATTGCCGTACACAGTGATATGTTGACATTTAAGTTGGGATAATGATAAGAATCCTGGAGGCGAAAGATCATCAACTGAAAGTTCTAACAAGGTACATTTACATAGGAAACTTATGTACTGAAGTGAGCAAAATTTTCATGTTTTAGGCTTGTATCAGTTTGCTTTTGCCATGTAATTGTTCTTTCAGTGTTTTAACATCCAAACTTGAAATGAGGTAATGCAGTCTCTCTGTTCATTTTCTCTTCATTAACACTAAACAGTCTGGTCTGATTCTGGTTTTAAACATAGCTGTGTCATTTAAACAAGTGTAAACTGGTCAAAAGCTGAGCCAATAGAGAAGAAAATACTACAACCTCGTCTTTGTACATCAGTAGAAAACAGCTGTCAGCTTGAGACAACAGCATGGAAAATAAAAGTACAAAAAACAACCAAGAATGTGTTTAAATATGCAGCTTTAACTGATAAAATATTAAACAATTAGATTTAAAATGTTAACAAACAGATATAGAATACAGCACATAACTTAAATGAAAACCGACTGAAAGAAATCTAAACAAAAGAGAATTGTCTGACAAATACGGAAAGAGTTATGTTTCAAATTAAAAACAATGTGGGCTTACTTTATTAAATTCACTGTATCCTGGAGAAAAAAGATATATATATCTTATAAACCCTGCTAAAGCTTAAAGGTGAAATTCAGCATTTTGATTATTATTCTGTATATGTATGTACTCATTTAAAAAATGTCCCACAAAGACATGGCCCCTCTGAGGCTGTTTTATTAACTGATATACTAAACTCTACATTAACACTAACTACACTGACCCATCCTAACTTTGACACATCGACCAAAATCACATCTTTGTCAAAATTGATGTCAATGTAAGGAATTAGAACCTACAAGTCCTTTTTATTTAGCAATTCACACACCCTTGAAATAATATAACTTCCCCAACATATAGCCTTTAACCTAATGATGTCAACTTAAAACCCACATCCAGGACATGATGGACAGTCAGAGACCCTTAACAAACGGGTCATTTTGAGACTATGAAATCTCATGTCGATATTTTGCACATTCACTTGGATTTTCTGGAATTTGTTGCCATTTTTTAGATTCTATAAATATCCCCCAATGATTAGAAGGCAATGCACACCAGGTCTGCCTCAAAATAAACATCCAATGTAACAGACTTGTTATTTTTTAAACTTTTTTCGTTTCTATTTTTGTATTCTCATTCGAGTCCTGTAACTTAATCAACTCCAACAATTTCTGCCCCACCCAGCCGTATCTAGAATGTCTGAGAAGAGAAGATTATAATACTGAGAAGATATTTTTTGGCAGCTACATGCTGAACCAGCCTCACTATGTAGTGTATATATAGAGAAGGATAAGTTTCATCCATGTAAGCTGTCTGGCTGCCATGCTGGGTTATTCAAATAGAAGTTATTATGGGATCATGGGAAGAAGAACTAGCTGGAAATTTTTGACATGGGTTTCAACAGATGAAACGCAGTCTGCTGGTAGTAGGCTCAAATTCCTCATTATCCATATTTCTGGGCACAGTGCACTGAACACAGAGAGGGTAGCTGCCATGCATTGTGAACATATCAAAAAGAGGGATATTTGAGAAAAGTAGTCATGCTGTCTCTGAAAGGGAATCAAGATAAAGGCATATTTTGCACCAAATGGTGCACCCTGTACTACCCTGGAAATCCCTTGTTATAGGAGTCACAGTGTGAATAGCATTGCACACCAGGCTTCGGATTTTTAACAAGTTTTGCAGGGTTCAAAATCAGCTCCTTCATGTGGAATTGCTGCATACCTCTCGTTTTAGACCCTGAAAAATACCTCAGCACTCTGGCTCTGATTTATTCATTTTCTTCCCAGTGTGGAACTTGGTAATGGAAGGTGGTCTGTGAATAAACTTTTGCGCTGAATTTCACCCAAACCAGCTGAGTCAGTGTTTGTTGTATTAAAACCAGTAGCAGCTACTCTCTCTGATCTCCGAGCTGTTTTTGGAATCAGTTAAAATATGTCAAATTTTAGCTTTCTCCTCGAACTGCCTGTGCCTGCATTTATCAGACTTCTGCCCTTTTGAGTGGAAAACAGATTTATGAGAGCAAATAAGATTAAGCTTATTTAAGCAGCATTGAAAATTAGTTTCTTGATACCCAGGGGGCATATTGTTGCACAATTAAGTCAATTTTCCTGACCAAATACACATTTATTTTCCAGTATAAATATTTCATTAAGAAGGTGTAAGTGCCAAAATTCACCATTAAATGTTTGAAGCCCATTGACCAGTTTATTTCAGTTTGATAGTTAGAATGAATGCAAACTTGTCGGATGTGTTTTTTCTCTTTGAAGAACACTTCCATGTAATACTGGAATAAATTGTTAAGCCTTGTTTTAGTCTAATTTTATCAAAGATCATTTACTTATGTCTTCATGAAACAATGTTGCAAATTTAAATTTTATCTAACAGAATAGTACTTGTAATACTATTTAGAGCACTTTTGCATAAGACTCAAACGCCTTTATCATTTTCAACAACCCCGTTTTAGCCATCTTACCACTTACTACAATTTTTAAGAATATAGACTGCTAAAATTACAGTCCCAGAAGAGAGGGAAAATCTGAAGGGATAAATTGGAGTTGACAGGCTAAACCAGGATGCCATTTCTATTTCAATTTTCACCTCCTGAAAATGAAGGCAAATGTGTGTGGAATGGCAAATCTGAGTAGCAGCACTCTTACATTGTTGACTTCTACAAAATTACTGCTGGGGATTGACTGATAAGGTTATCAAATTGAACTGTTTTCCAAGAGATTTGCAGCCCACTGCTTTTGCCTATGTCCTCCAAGACTTCCAAGTTGGTCATTATAAGGACAAAATTAACATTGAGGAAGGAAAGAAAAGAAAAAAATTATCCCCAGATGAATGAATAACATTTAAAATATTTGAGGTCATATTATGAGTTAATCAGATTCCAAAGGTAACAATTGTCTAATGGTTTACATAATTTTCCTCAAAAAATAAGAGATGCAACAACAGTTCACTTGGTGCACAAATTCATCACGTAAGTTGTCCACGCAAAAGCAATGGGAATGCGCAGGTTTTCTAGTCATGTGGCCAATTCTTTATCAAAGTTTCTGAATTTATGGGGAATGATGAAATAAAAATAGTAAATTTTATACATGGTTATTCCACACATTAATTCAGGCTGCACTTCTCCTAGAAAAAGTAAACCCAACGGTGCGGAAAATGACTGTGAAGTGGTGATGTCACATCCAGGGAGTTGCTATCAATTAAGAAAAGTAGATCAATTCACCAGGTGTGAGAAAATACCTGCAGAGCTATTTATGTTACCAGGTACATACCAAAATGACTGCCATGCCACCAAGTATTTACTATAGAAGTCAATAAGAACGAAACCTACACAAAGTAGCTAGTTAGGCAGATTTTTACCAATTGAAATATTTTCAATACCTCTTATATTACATTATAAACAATACTTCCTGAATTATATGCATTCTAGTTAGAGTAACAAATAAGACTGTTACACACCTCGTTTTTTAACTTTGTTTCATTTATCAAATTAAGAAGTCTGAAAAATTCTTCAAGAAACTGTCCCTACAATTATTTATCAACAATTTTTAGTAGTGCCATAAAAAAAAACTTTGAAACAGCAAATATAATTTGGTGTCTACAAGGTGAAAGCTACCCTGTCAGTGCAGGTGAGTTTTTCAGAAGTTCCAGGTGTGATGTTCAGCTGTGCTGTGCAAACACTAAGCTGGACCAACTATTGTCCTGTCAAATAGTCCTTGCATACTTAAGCACAGTATGAGCACATGTTATAAAGACTTCACAGCAGCAGGAGAAAAAAAAGCTGCTGTTCAGAGTCCAGGTTCTCTTAGGAAAAAAATTCCAAGATTTTTTTATTCTACTCATTAATTTATTTTCTGTTTGTTTGTTTCAGTTCAGTTAAACTGAGTTTATCAAAACCGAATGCTGTAAGGCTACTGAGAGCACTCTGCCTCATTTAGAAAGGCACAAAATCTTAAAATTTATTAAAGGAAAAACTTCATATTAACTTTGTATTGTTTCAAAAATGAAAAAATGATAATGCATCAAGTAAATATGTGTCTGTTTTCTACTATTCACCATTTACCATATCAATCTTGATAACTGTAATGAACCACACCAACATCCAATATTTCAGCTTTCTTCCAAAGATTTATACATCTTATTTAATACATTTTACGCAACTTACTGCTGTAAAATAAATATTGTTTAATCTTTTTCATAAAATGTTCCAAACAGTCTAAAACAAGCTAAGTAAGCTGAACAGGCTAATCATATCTGGGCCATTACCATGCTGGTTACACTACTTAGTAGAGGAACATCGGGTATGGTATGGGCCAATGCACAAACAAACCAAATATAAATTCATTTCTTTCACAACAAAGAAAAAAGGGCCTTGTTCAGCATGTTGCTCGTTGTTTCCTTTGCTATTTGTTCTCCCCACCTTGGAAAGAATGGAAGATTGTAGTTCACAGCACATTCCAGCTGTACTTTGTCAGGCAGTCAGCAAGCCCATTATTAATGTAGAGGTTGATTTATACTAACAGCTGAAGAAAAAAAACTCTGATATCAGCCCAGCTTGTGAGCTGGCAACATGCTAGAGATGTCTTATCCTATATGTGTAACTCCACCTTTAAGCAACCATTTTTTTTTCATGTATTTCACATTATTTTAAAACCAAATTTGTGATTATCCCAATGTTACCCCCTTTTCCCCAATGACATGCAGATATTTTCATCTTTTTTTCACTCCATGCATTAATGTAGTGGCCTTGATAAGCCCCTAACAAAGCAGTTTTATTCTGCAAGTATGAGAAGTGTAATTTCAGAATAAAAATGTATTGTATGTGTGTTGCAAAATTACCCAATATTTTGATGTAAGCAAAGGCAAATCTAACCTTTCAGGATGACAGTTAGAAGTAAAGTAAACCATTTTTTCCTTGTTAACTCTGCAATGAAAAAGTTCTAAAAGTATAATAAATTTTGTAGACATTTTTCTTGTGCTCCCCCCCCCCACCCCTCTCTCTCTCTCAAACACAAGCTTCAAAAATAGAAGTCCTCAAAATGTTGTAAGGTGTTCTGTTCAACAGAATCTCCTCCATTTATTAAACATACACATTTAAAATGTGTCAACAACAAATAAAGATAAAAAGACACTTTCAAACAACCATGAATTAGTTGCTGAGGCAGAATAAATTTCAAACTCTATTCTGCCAAACAAACAAACAAACAAACAAAAAAATGACAGAAAAAAATGACAGATACATCTCATGCCTTTCCATTATATGATTAAGCCTTCCCACCATCAATTCCATAACAGTTTGAATATTTTCCACGCAGTGAAAAGTACTAATGTTTTATGTCTCACATATATCTATAATCTCTAATCATAAATTAAGAAAATAGCTGATGGACCATTATTCGACAGTGCCATCAGAAAAATGATTATTATTCCCACTTAGTGGATAAAAAGGGATACAATTGTCCTCATAAATACCACAATATCCTTTCATGTGCCTCTCGGTTCTGATTCTCTCTAGGATTCAGACACAGGACTGTTTTGTATCCATCCAAGCTTGTAGTCCTCAGGCTAAAACTTAGCACACGACATGTGCACATTATGGCTTAAACAAATATTTACAAACCCGGTAGAAAATATTTTCTTTTCTTTAGCTTTAGGTTTCAATCATTCATATATTTCCTGCAGTTCAACTCCAGTAAACTTAACACCTGACCTATATATCCGTTCAGTGCTATTTCCATTGATTTCATTGGGATACGACAATACCCTCACACTTAAGACAATGCTGAAGTGGTTTACGTTACACTACTCCCCCATTTAAGATGTATTAAAAAAGTAACTAGTAACACACTAAAATGGCATTTTAAAGTCCACCCTGCACTGGTATGAGGTGTAGTTGTTTCTGCTATGATGGAGTACATGGAATCTAAAGTGACTGTTTCGCGATGAAAACACAGTTTATCAATGTAATACTTGGTCTCCTGGCAAGTGTACCCATCAGGGTACGGCTCATTACTGTCACAGTGACAATTCCGAAGCTTTTTCGCTTTTTGCTGGCGATAGAGTATATCCAGTGTATTGTTGCAGGTGAAAGAGCACTGCTTCTTTTGCCACTGCGAAGGACACTGGTACCCGTAATGTTTTAGAGCTGTGAGACACGCCGTGTCCGCTTCGCATATCCACATAGCTAGAGAACAATTGAGGATGGTGTGATCATCGTTTATGCTCACCATCGCAGACAACACATCCTTGGAACACACCTTCAGACGCTCTTGAGTGTCTAGGCACAACTGGCTGCCATTGCAATCACAGTGAAGAAACTTGGAGCCCACTTCATCGTCCGTCGAGAGTAGAGATATGAGAGACTGCTTGCAATGTGGGGTGCAGGTCTGGCCCACCCCNTAAAAATCACTGAAGGGAGGAGAAGGTAAAAGAATTTACATTGCCAGCTCCTTTTATATCAGCAGTCCATTTATTTCAGCTAGACTCATAAAACTCACAATTTACAACCTATCCAGGGAAGATATAAATTAAACCGGGGACAGTTTAACACACAAATTTGGTGCACTTTTCCTGCATCATTTAAATATGTCTATGTACCCTTTATTTATAAGAAATATTAATTTAAATTAATAACAGTAAGGAAGTAAATGAAATTTAGGATGGTACAAGAAACTGTAACTGGCAGATTAAACGATGCATCTGGATGCACCAGAATCATAAACAACAACTTATAAACCTACATGAATTTTGCATTCAAATGTTAACTGCAACATTATATTGTAACATCTTTTCACCCTCTATAATCACAGTGAAACATTTGACATTCTAGTGGGTGAACTGTATAGCCTAGTCAAGTCAAAATTACAGGTTTGCAGGGTTAATCATGCGTACACTGTCATTAAAGGGAACGCCAATCAAAAGTTTGCCAGGTATCATATTTTCTACCTTTCATCTATAAGAATTTAGTCAAAACTATGCATTTTCGTGTGATTATGCAATACAACCTGCATCTACTCTTGTCAAAGTTGCTCTTATTGTTACTGTTATTTCAGTGTAATATAGAGCTGCTTTATAGTGTTATATTCTGCTCTTGAATGGGTTTTAGCTTTAGATGCCGAGGTCATGTTCCATTACATCACAACACAATGGCCTGTCAAATCAAAGTTTTATCAGGTATTTCCATTTATTTATAACTTTGTGCATGGTGGATACGCATAGCGCCACAGCCAGGTAATAGCCTACAATAAATTTAGACTTTGAAAATGAAATATTTAGGTTTGATTGCACTGTTGATTGTGCCAGGAAGTCTGCTGATAAAAGATAATGGATTTTATTTAACTCAAAGAGAGAAAATGGGCCTTGTGTGTTTATTGTTATAGCAAATAAAAATGTATACATTGGACATATATTCACACCATTTTTCTGTGTTAAGTGTGACCGTTGTATAATTCAGAGGGACGAAGAGAGAGAGAGTGCATACAAATTTAGAATACTTTTATAAGATGAAATTGTAGCAACACTGAAAACTAAAATCTATTTTATAAAAAGTAAAAAGCACATAATGTCTCTCGTTTTTGAGGATTTTAATGAAAACCATCTGCAGACAATTTTCAATCATTCTCAGTTTCCATACAAGCGCACCCTAAAATTAACAAACGTATTTCATTACCACATCAAGAAACAGATCTAAGCATTTTATCTCTTTCGTTTTTTCCACTACTTAGACAATAAGCCTCTGTTATTATGAGATCAGTTTTTCCAGCCCTCCTGTTTCACCACCAGATATATTTCTACACCTGGAAACCCGAGTCCATCTGCCTGATCCTATCATGCCCCACCCTCATTGTCCCACAACCCTGTGTCCACAGCGCCATTGTTCCTGTAAATGAAATGACATGTACACCATGTAACGATCAACCAGTGTTTTTCACCTGACAACTTTGATCAGCTTTATCCCGCAAATGACAAGGGGCCCTGATCACAGGCAGACAGGTCATAAATCTCTGGATACAAAGATGTGTTTTTCTATACAGGAACATAGCTGGAATACCTATAGTTAAACAGAGAATAACCTAACTTTGTTTTTGATTTTTGAGAAAAAAAAATTGTTGGCTTGGGAAAAGACACACAAAAATGAAAGAATGAAACAAACTAACAAGAAAGGATATGAGATAAAAGATGTGATGAACAAAAGGGCTGTATTTTGAGAGGGATTTGTAAAATTGATATTTGATCCACAATACCAGGCTACTTCAAGTACAATATACCAGTGTTAAGGTAAAGATTGCAAAGTAATAGATTAAAAAGAGCATTCTTGTGATGTGGAATAATTGGGTTTGGGTCTAAAATTGGAAATTGACCTTGTACTATTTGATATATTCAAAAATGAATCCACTGCATGCTCTTTTGTGGGTAAAATCAATTACAACAGCAGCCTCGGCAGCAGGAGTGAATCAGCATGCTCAACTTTCAAATTAGCCAAGACCTTTCATCTAAAGACATGTAAATGTACATAAATTGACAGTTTTATTGGCCTGATTGTGAAAATATCAATATAATTTAACTTATTCTATGAAATTACACTTGTCTCTATTATGGAAATCCAATAAAACCAATAATGCAAATGCTAATCAAAAAAGAGCATAGCACTTAGATTCTGCTACATGTCTGGTAAACAAAGCTGAGGTTCCTGCCTATTCCATGTTGGCAATCAATTTGAAAGTCCTTGAGAATAATTATCTTTGATCTAACATAATCAATGCAGATGTAATGTGAGTGACACTGTAATAATATCGAAGTAGACCTGATCAGTACTTTTGATGGGAAGGTCTACAAAGGCAAACCCAGCCTTTCAGGCTGACAGTTAGAAATAAAGTAAAAAAAAAATCCTTCTAATTAAAAAAGTTCCAATCCAGAAGTTGAAATCAGTACCTTGTCTGGACTTTGTTTTCCGCAAAACAGAGGGCTATCACTGAACAGAGTATGTTTTGAAAGGACTGGGAGGTTGCTATTGTTGGATGGGAATATTAACCCAAGGGTAAATTTAAAGGGCATTTTAACCCGATTTAGCCACCATTATCAAAATTAAATTGATAAATTAAAAAAAAAAGTAAGTCGATTCACATCACTCTTTTTGGTCCATGATAATGATCAACCAGTAATAACCAAGCCAATAATTACCAATCCTGGAATAGTTCATCAAATCTGTATTGGCAGAGAGTAATGTTTCTCAGTGCAAGAAATGAAAAGGAAATTGTTTCACATCATTTAATGTCAAATAATAATTTTGAAAAGTATATAAAGAAAACATTAACAAAATTTTTAGATAACACCTTAATCACACAGGTATAAATGTTAAATGTCATCACTAGATAAGAAGATCCTAGAAAGGATTTGATTCTGATATCAAGGCCAATTGTGTGCAAATTGTTTTCCAGGAAAATACTCATTTAAACCCCCTAGATTAATTTTACACAAATTCTCTTAATTTTCACGATTATTTACATATAAACTATCAGTAGACACGATGATAATGCCATAGAGAATGTGTTAGAGGAGGACAGTAGAGGTTAAAAGCAATAGGAGCCTGACTTACCACAACTGCCCTTATGGAGCATCCAGTAAGTTTGCTTAAATATGAAAATGCAGCAAGCAACTGCCTACTTTTATATTGCATAGGGCTGACTAGAATCAATGACATTTTGGTTTCAGAGACTGTGAATGTCACAACTGTATCATGCACCTGATCCTTTGTATATGCAGAAAAAAAATCATGAACCATAGAAAATACCAAAATGGCCCAGCTGCTTCCAACTAATCAGGATTACCAATACCAGCCAGCCTTTCTGAACTCTCAGGATGGGGAGTTTCTGTTTGCAGCCAGAAAGAGAGGCAAAAAACAAAAATTCACTTTTCACCACACCATTTATTATTCATTTTCATTATCCATGATTAACGGAATTCAAATTGTTCTGCGAAAATTGGAAATGGTCAAAATAAATTTTCCTGAAAAACACATTGGATTTAACATGAAAGTTATATTTTAGGTTTATTTTGTTGACCAGTTTCTTAAAAGTATGTGACATATGAAATCGTCGTCAACACATTCTATTGCTTGAATTCATAAGCTTGACTTTTACTTCTATCTTCAAATTTTGTCAGTCAAAAGGTGGAAAAATTAGTTGTTGAACCATTGTTTCACAATCCCTACAGCAGCATCAAAAGTCCTCAAAGCAGAGTGCGTACCTCTGTACTTTAGCAGCAGAGATCCAGCCTCTGCCATGTGACCAGCCTCCTGGAGTTGCCTAGCAACTGATTTAACATCCATGCCATCAGGTGATGTACTCTCCGTGTTCTGATTGGACAGAAGGTAGGTTATCACCAGGGAATAATATGGGGTACTTACTATTTTTGACGTAAGATTATGCTTGAGGAGAAGATTAAGAAGTTCTTCATCTTCAAATACCTGGAGGATATGAAATACTTATTATATCAGATTTGTAAGTAAATAATAAGACTCAGTGACAGACAAAAAATCATAATCAGAAAGTAAGAACACGTTATTGACAAAATGAATTTAAACAATAACTGTATCCAACTTATGGATTAAGAGTAACAAAAAAGAAAGATTGAAAAAAAAACATAAAAAGAAAAAGGTCCAATGTATCTTACAAAATTATATACAATACTGATATATAAAGCAGGAAGATATACCTGTGGGTTGGAAATCAGTTCCTCCACTGCTTTTGAATGCATATCTGGATATGCTGTGATCAAACACAGTTTCACAGCTGGCAAACAGTGACCATGGTTCAACATGTGGCCCACAACATGCTGTGTACACTGAAGAACCATGACAATTTAACTGATTACTCTGAACATCATTCATATCACTTTTCAATACTTTGAAATTAATTCTTATATTGATAGTTCAATAATAATGTAAGTCACATTTTTTGACAAGTCAGTGAGTTCTGATGACAACTATAAAGGAGATAAATACTTAAGTACTTATATTTCAAAAATAGAAAAGCTCCTTTTTAAAAAGAACAGTTTCCAATCAACTCTTTCACAGAACTAAGAAAAATGTCACAGGTCAGGAAAAAAATAATTCATTTCAAATCAGGTAGTAGTTTTAAATTGATAAAAACTATGTTCAGTTGGCCTACCTTCACACTAAGTGGCATAATGGCTATAGTCTCTCTGCATATCCGCAACACTGCTTCAGCACCTTCTTGATTACAACACTCCACCATAGCACAGCACAGTTTGGCAAGAGGATGGTTGGTGGGATCTTCTGAACTAGAATGCATACATATTTCTAATGAACTTACTTCTTATTCACCAAAGAACATAATTATAAAAATATAATACGTCTCAAGTTGTAAACTGTAGGTATGAGGTCAATCACAGTACCCTTTTCACAAAATATCTGAAAGTGTGCCATGAAGTACAACATTCAACAAAGCAAGTGAGTGCATTCATTTGTATGTATGTGATTATGTATGTCACATATTGTGCAGCGCGCCACCTATATGATGTGTGTATTGACCTGGGAGGTCATTGTGTATCTCAGTGAGCTGATTCTAATAAACACGTGTCCTGACAACAAGGCAGTTGTTATATGGTGTCTAGAAGCGGGATTCTCAATGGAAACCTTGAAACCACCTGCACACGTTAATTTCCAGAGTGGAAATGTGGCTACAAACTGGCGTAAATGGGAGCAGCAATTCAAGGTGTACTATAATGCATGCGAATTAGGAGAAAAGTCTGGCGCGACGCAAGTCGCCATCTTGCTTCACACTGCAGGCCCGGAGGCGCTAGATATTTTTAACACGTTCACTTTTGAAGATGACTCACAGAAACAAGATGTAGACG